TTGGACTTATTATGTGTATATGTGTCTGTCTATGTGTGTGTGTGTGTGTGTGTGTGTGTGTGTGTGTGTGTGTGTGTACAAGTGTAAAAATGAGCACGTGTGTATATGAAGGATTCAGAACACTGTGTTTTGAAAGTTCTCATAGAAACTCCATTTGTTGTGTTCCACACCTAGAGGTTGTCTTCAGAGCTCTTCCTACAAGAGAAGAGAAGTGTGAGATATTGTGAGTCTTCATATTAACTACCTAAGCAAAAACATGCTTAGGGAAGGTGCAATTTTAGTTCCTCTACTGTCATGATAAACAGTGTTATGGTTACCATTAGAGGGGAATCTAAATATATACCTCTAGTATTTTGTTTGAGATGGCAATCCTGAAGAGGGTCAGGATAAGGCCCAAGCCCATCACCCTCCCCCATGAACAGCTTATTCAGTTTCCTATGTTGACAGATATGAATTGAACCTAGAAAGGAGAGATAACCTGTCCCTCTGAACAGAGTTATTAAAGATGAAGCTGAAACCATTGCTGAAATCACAGTAACACTTTCATTCATTCATTCATTTATTCATTCATTTATGTATGTATTTATTTATTTATTTTCCTTTTATTTTATTTTATAATTTAATTTTACATATCAGCCACGGATTCCCTTGTTCTCCCCCCTCTCACTCCTCTCCTCTTCCCCCATACCACCCCCATTCCCATCTCCTCCAGGGCAAAGACTCCCCTGGGGATTGAGTTCAACCTGGTAGATTCAGTCCAGGAAGGTCCAGTCCCCTCCTCCCAGGCTGAGTGAAGTGTCTTTGCATAAGCTCCAGGTTCTAAACAGCCAGCTCATGCACTGAGGACAGGTCTTGGTCCCACTGCCTGGTTGCCTCCCAAACAGATCAAGCTAATCAACAGTCTCAATTATCCAGAGGGCCTGATCCAGTTGGGGGCTCCCCAGCTATTGGTTCATAGTTCATGTGTTTCCATTCGTTTGGCTCTTTGTCCCTGTGCTTTTTCCAATCTTGGTCTCAACAATTCTCACTCATACAAACCCTCCTCTTTCTCGCCAGTTGGACTCCCGGAGCTCCACCTGGGGCCTGGTTGTGGATCTCTGCAGAGAAATGGATGAGATCTAAATGAACAACATGGACATGAGTGGGGGTAATGAAGGGCAAGGGTTGAGGGAAAGAGAGCTTAGGGGAGCGGGAGATCCCAGCTGGATCAAGAACAGAGAGGGAGAACAAGGAATAAGAGACCATGATAAATGAAGACCACATGAGAATAGGAAGAAGCAAAGTGCTAGAGAGGTCCACAGAAATCCACAAATGTACCTCCACAGTAGACTACTGGCAATGGTCGAGAGAAAGCCTGAAATGACCTACTCTGGTGATAGGATGGCCAAACACCCTAATTGTTGTGCTAGAAACCCCATCTAATGACTGAGGGAACGCTTTCCTTCTTTCAGCACATAGGCAGATTATACCTTGGAAACAGGAATTTAAATGGGCTAGTGCACAAAAGAACATCAATGAGCTGCATCAGAACAAATAGGAAAGAAGAGAGTTGTAACAGAGAAAAGATATATTGTCATCAATCAAGAAAGACAACTCAAACAACTAGGGAGGTCTTGTGGAAACTGAAAAGACAGGAGGGCCCTTTGAGTCACAGAACTTCACAGGGATGATGTCCTGGAAAAAGATATTTCCTACTTCTTAGAGTCTCAGTCCAGCCAGTCATGCATGGATTTGCATTTTTGTTGGGAAATTCTCAGTCCTGTCCATTGTTAGTCCATTGTACTTCCACTGGGTTGGGCAGCCAGTCCTATAAAGACGTCTTTGGCTGCATGACTGCAGACTCCTTGTACTCAAGTCCTGGCCTACTTTGGAGAACATGGTGAGTGCCATTTGTTGAGTTGGTCTGTCTTTATGGTCTTCTTATGCACTGTAGTCAGTTTTGAGGGAGTAAGTGTGATGAGTCCCATTGTGATTATGGGACAACAGGTGTCAACCTAGCAACCAGAAATTTAGCAGTGGATACTCTAGTCCACTGTGATAGGTGGTCTTCCTTTTATTTGGTAGTTGATTGAACAGCACATTTTTCTCTTTCATATGCATCTTCTGGTGTCATTTTCATAGCCCTATATCTCATCAGGTATTAGAACTTAGGATTTTCCTGAGCTATCCTCAACTCTGCAACTCCAGACAACCTTCTAGGATGTCACAAGTGACAAGAGAGACAGGAATTGGTTCTACGATTGTTCAGGATTCTAGAGCTTGAGACTGCCTGTCTTGAAGATGTTTCTGTGTGAAAAGAGCCTTATTTGTTTCATTGGAACAAAATATGTTCTTCTGGCAATAAGGCCTAAAACAAAGGTGACTTCCCAAGGCTACTACCACATATTGCTGACAGCACTGGGTAATGCCATGATGTCCTAAAACTGGAGTTGGGGAATATGCACATGCATGTAGAGAGGAGTGGCTCTGATGTTCCATGTCTCCATCAGTCTTCTCTGTGTGGATCACCCCTGAACACTCTCATGTGTGGTGATATTGTGTTCCCCAAAATATTGTGTACCCTAATAAATTTATCTGGGGTCAGAGAACAGACAGCCACTAAATACAAAGGCTAGAAAATGGTGGCACTCACACCTTTAATCCTAGCATTCCAGAGATAGAAATCCCTCTGGATCTCTGTGAGTTCAAAGCCACATTGGAAATAGCCAAGCATGGTGACACACACCTTTAATCCCAGAAAGCCAGCCTTTAATCCTAGGGAGTGATGGTAGAAAGCAGAAAGATATATAAGGCGTGAGGACCAGAAACTAGAAGCATTTGGCCTGGTTAATCATTTGGCTGGTTAAGCATTCAGGCTTTTAAGCAGCAGTTCAGCTGAGAGCCATTGGGATGAGGACACAGAAGCTTCCAGTCTGAGGAAACAGGACCAGCTGAGGAATTGGCAAGGTGAGATAGCTGTGGCTTGTTCTGTCTCTCTGATCTACCAGCATTGACCCCAATAACTGGCCTCAGGTTTGATTTTATTAATAAGAACTTTGAAGATTCCTGCTACACTCATGTAATGTCTTTCAGATCCTGAGACCTCAGCACGATGTCTTACCAACAACAACAGTGCAAGCAGCCCTGCCAGCCTCCTCCTGTGTGCCTACCCCCTAAGTGCCCAGAGCCTTTTCCTCCCCCAAAATGCCCAGAGCCTTGTCCTCCTCCACAGTGCTCTGAGCTTTGTTCTCCAAAGCGCCCTGAGCCATGCCTCCCTCAGCCATGCCAGCAGAAATGTCCTCCTGTGCAACACCTTCCACCCTGCCAGCAAAAGTGCCCACCCAAGAGCAAGTGACTGCTTCCACTGTCACCATGACCAGGAGAAGAGAAGGGAATCCATCTCAACTACTTTCATAGCAACAACTCTATCTTCCATTCAAAGTCCATCATGGATGCAAAAGAATCTTATCTACCCTTCACCCTCTTTGTGCCTGTTAATAACTCTAAAATGGAGGACATTTCCATCAGGCTGTTTTCCTGTTGTTCAAGGGGCTGCTGAGAATGGTCCTTCCTCCGTGGTTCAGTATCTCAGTGTTCAGAGAGAAGACAGTAGATGTACCTTCAGTGCTCTCAGAGTATGATTTCCAAATCTCTCTGTCACTTTAGTAGGATAATTGTCACTGTTGTTTCATTTCCTAAATAAATTACTATCTCAGCGATGGTATTCATGTGTTCTTGCTTCTGAAACATGTCAACCTGTAGCATTTGTGTTTTGACTGAATTTTGCATCATAACAATGATTACTTAGTGTTTGATTGCTTGAGGATCATATTATTCATAACTTCTACATAACTACAATCTCCTTTTAGCAATGCTAACCAAAGGAGATAATGTATTCTTCAGTTATGCATGTACTTATTGGATCATATTTTTTACCTACACCCCACATATTTTATTCTCTCTTGTCCCTTTACCCTGTCCTAATAGTTGCATATGTACATTAACACATCCTTATTAATTTATTCTGATTTTATATTTAAAACAACATACCTATCTTGTCCTTTAGAATGTTCTTATCTTTCTTAACAAGATGATACACAGTTATATCAGTTGTATAAATAGGACATTATATCATTGTTCTTTATGACTAAATATTACTCTGGTATGTATATGTGTCATATTTTCTTAATCCAGTCATCTATTGATGAGCACCTATCCTTGTTATTTAGTTTGCATATTATGAGTTGTGGTATAACAAAGATGGACATACAGATATCTCTAAGGTATGTTCTGTGTGACCTCTGTTTATACAAACCCAGTGTTTTCACTCAATCTTATGTTTGTTCTGCTTTTATTGTTGTTTGTTAGGAGAAAACTCCATATTGACTTTCATACTGGACCGATTAATCTACTCTCTCAAGGACAGTGTGTTTGAGGTTTTTATCCCTCTATATCCTTGATAGGGATTGCTATTATTTTGATGGTATCCATTTGTACCTTGGAGCAGTGGGATTCAACTGTCTTGGCTTGAATTTTTCTGAAAATAGGGATGCTGGCTATGTTTTATCCTTTATGTTAGACATTGAAACTCTCACATATATTAATGATTTATTTTTGCCAACAATGGAATAAATCCATGTCATTTTATTGACACAGTGCCAGACAACAATTTAGAACTAAATAAGTGGCAGTGCATGGGAGCTCCTGATAATCTTCATTTCTCTCTCCCTAACTATCATGACCATCTCTACTAGCATAGCATATCCATCACCACCTACCATCTTCATTGTGCATACTATGACCATCACACTCACCAAAACGACCATGCCCATGTCCATTATCTTCTTCACCATAAACAGAAGTTGTTCACTGCTACCACCACCTACAACCACCACTAGGACCATCACCACCACAATTACATTACCATAGTTGGTCCATTGAAGAAGTGGCTTAGACATAACTAACTCACATAGGAAATACAATTCTAAAATGTATTATTCCTTGTATTCTGCTCATCCCTTTATTTTATTGTCTTTATTTTCTGTGAAATATGGCAGAGAAGGGGATGTAAAGGAATTGAGGTATCGTCCAATTTAAATATTTGGCAATGTTAAAACACAAGTACAGAAGAGAGGTAGAAATGGGCTTCAAAAATTATTTGCCTCTTTTCTATCTTTGCCACTGGATTCCTTTAACTGTCTATGAAATTTAAACACTCTCCTTGTGTCTTATTTCTGAAGCTATTTTATGAGTTGATTTGATTCTACGTGTATTCAAATTTTCGTTTCCTGTGTTTGTTTAGAACTGCTAATGATGCAGATGTGCAGCTTTTCTTTGTAAATATGGAACACACCAGTCAAGACAAGCGACAGCTATGTCCTGTCTAGGGACTGAGATTGAGATATGCAAAATGAGATTGTTAGTGGAATGAATAGATATTATATTCTAATCCATGAAGTTTAAAACACCTTTGCCCCAAATCACCAAGGTAGTCTGTTCAATTACAAGTCCCTTGAGGATAGTTGTGAAGCTCTCTGATTTTCTGGAGTTTTCCTTGGTTCTTTACCCTGAAGTTGAGTCATGTCCTTAGTGCAGCTTTCAAGTAGGTAATGTTAAAAAAAGTCTCTTAAAGGATTTACCAGATCTATACATTTAAATATGCCTTTCTAATGTCATCTTTTACAACTGTCCAACATATCTTCCTTGTGCAAAAAGATGGAATATTCTGAGGAAAATGTCATGAGAAAGAAGAACCTTACCAACATAGAAAAAAATTCACTCATGATAATGCCAGGAGGAGAAACTATACAGTGTCCCACTGACTGTGTTTGAGATTAAAAGCACAAAATGTTCTTTGGAACTGAAGAAACGCATGGCTTTAGTTTACACTGTTCAGGGCCCTCTTCTCCTGTGAATGCTCTCAATGGGAGCTCTTGTTCTGTTTCCCCAGACATGGGCAAGCATGTCACATGCAGCACAAGCGGCAGTGGAAGCAGCCCTTCCAGACACACGTGTGCTTACTCCAGTGTCTTGTTTCCACTCCATAACCACAGTGCCTGACTCATGCCTGTCTTGGAATCTTTTCTCATTGAAATGTCCCTTCCTCAGTTCCAAGGCCACCCCTTGCAGGGCCACCCTAAGCCAGGCCAACTGCACCAAAACCTTCATTCTTCCTATAAATGTGAGCCAAGATTCAGATGTCTCGGGACCAGGAAATAAGAACAACACAACTTCTGGAGCTCAGGGAGACTTTTAAGCCAAAACTTCTCACAGAGTGCCATTAGTGTGACATTGCTTATCTGCTACTAAACAACTAATTTCAGGACCACACAAATTTAAATTTCATTTCCCCCCTAGATGAGGCTTTTTTCCTGGTGGAGCATCTGTTTTTTTTTTTAATTATTTATTTATTTATTTATTTATTTATTTATTTTTAACAATGGACATTCTACGATTAATTGCTCTCTCAAGTGGCTTGTCTCTAGATTTGGGCTTCCCAAAAAAAGTCTTCTCACATCGGATCAAGGAGTCTGGCTTTCCATTGTCAAGTGACCTACCTGGAATAAGATCTTTAACTCCTTTATATGTCAACTTCACTTTTTTCTTAAAGTGAAAACAATAGCACTATCCTAGGCATTAAATGGCTCAGCATAATGCCCGACTTATGATTAATTCCAAGGCAATGCCACTGTGTCACCACCCCCCACAGTGTCATCACTGGCAGCACAGTTGTCCTTGAAGGAAGTGAGTTTGTGAACCTTTGACAAGCTTCAATGTCATAATTGTTTTCTTCCTCCTCTGATACAATGGGATTGTTGTGAAATTTCTATTTCTGGGAAGATGGAAAAGACATTTTTTTCTAATCAATACTGTTAAGTACCACATCACACATCTGGATTTTATATATACAAAATGCTAAAATCCTGGAAAGCCCAGTAAAAAGAAAGCCCAGCTTAGGAATGTGATATCTGAAGAAGGGCACAGTGCTGATTACATGCTTTTTCATTTTGAGATAGGATCTCATGGACTTCTTATCCCCATGCCTTCACCTCTCAAGTCCTGGATTGCAGGCTTACTCCACTATGGCTGGTTTATGCAGCGCTAGGAATGATCCTGTGCTTTGTGCATGCTGGGCAACAACTACTGAGATAAATCCCAAGCACCCAGGTTTCCTTTTCATTATGGATATCCAAACAGGAAAACCAAAAGCAGAAATATTGAGGGACATGTATCCCCCAAATCTCAACATAACCTTTCTCTTGCCATGGGACAGATAAAGAACATTCTAGCATGATGAACATTTCACAGGAAGCAACTGTCCTACTCCAGTGAAGCACCACATAAAAATTGTGATTCCCCTACACTATTCTCCACAACCCCCACACCCACACCTACCCTCCCAAAGTCAACAAAGCTTTGTGGAAAACCTGACATCATTTCACCATTCTAGGTTCTGATGATTTTGGTTAAGAGTTGCATGAACAGTTCAAGGATGAAATAATACAAATACTATATGATATCTTACAGGCAACAGAGGAGGAGTTTATGCTTCACAATTAATTCTACAAGGTGAGCACCATTTTGATACTAATGTCAAATAAAGGCCATATGGAGTGCTAAGTCAATCCTGACGTGAAAATACAGAGAAAACAAGATGTAATAGGAGTACATAGAGGGCTATAAATTGCAAATAACTTCTTAGTCAGGGGTGGGATTTTGTACCTATGTACCCTTTTCAATGATAAGGTTTTGTCTGGTTTTAACATGTGTAGGTCTCCTTCATGCTATCAGAGCCTCTGTGAGTTGATATCTGTATCAGCCCTGTTGTGTCTTCAAGTGCATGCCATGCTTTCATTGGAGTCATTTCTCACCTCTGGATCTTACAATCTTTTCACTTCCTTTTCTGAATATATTCCTTATTTCCGATGGTATGGGTTTGATGAAGACATTGGAGTTGAATTCTCCAAAGCCTCTCACCCTCTACATGTCCAGTTGTAGGTTTCTGTGTTATTTGTCTATTGCAAGAAGCAGCTTCTCTGAGGAAGGCACAGTGATGTACTTATCTATGGATATAGCGATGATATTAGGAATCATTTTATTGTCACGTTCACTTAGTAGAAAAAGTATAGTAGGATTTCTCTTAGAGCCCATGACCTATCTAGTATCAGGTTCTTGGTTTCATTAACAGTGTTGGGTAAGAGTTTCACATGGGCCTTAAATCCAGTCAAAATATGACTGCTTATTCCCATAACATTTCTGCCACTATTGCACTATTGTGTGGTATGTCTTGCAGGCATGACGCTATTGTAGATCTCAGGGCTGTGTCTTGGTGAGATTGATGATTACTTTTCTGTC